GTCAAGGGCAATAACTCTAAAAATACTAGAAATATCCAGACAAAAATACCCAGGTGCACAATTACACATGCTGATCAACATTCCTGGAAAGTTTCATGACTCTAGGTCAAATACTTTTTAAGTTACGTGCGACACAAGTTGAAAATTGCAAAATGTTACTAGGTCAAGGGCAATAACTCTGAAAATACTAAAAATATCCACACAAAAATACCCAGGTGCACAACTACACATGCTGATTAACATTCCTGCAAAGTTTCATGACTCTAGGTCAAATACTTTTTGAGTAACATGCGACACAAGTTGAAAATTGCAAAATTTTACAAAGTCAAGGGCAATAACTCTGAAAAAACTAAAAATATCCACACGAAAATACCCAGGTGCACAACTACACATGCTGATCAACATTCCTGTAAAGTTTCATGACTCTAGGTCAAATACTTTTTGAGTAACATGCGACACAAGTTGAAAATTGCAAAATTTTACTAAGTCAAGGGCAATAACTCTGAAAATACTAAAAATATCCAGACAAAAATACCCAGGTGCACAACTACACATGCTGATAAACATTCCTGTAAAGTTTTATGACTCTATGTCAAACACTTTTTGAGTTACAGGCGACACAAGTTGAAAATTGCAAAATTTTACTAAGTCAAGGGCAATAACTCTTAAAGTACTAAAAATATCCACACGAAAATACCCAGGTGCACAACTACACATGCTGATCAACATTCCTGTAAAGTTTCATGACTCTCGGTCAAATACTTTTTGAGTTACATGCAACACAAAAGTGAACAGACGGACGAACGGAAAAAAGGACGGACAGACGGACGGAGGGACAAGGGTAAATCTAAATGCCCGCCACTAATGTGGGGGCACAATTATTACTAAAATAAAATGGTTAAAATGACATTTATATGAGCACCACGGAAAGTGTCTGTTGTCACCTTAACATTGATTCTGTAATATCATCATATGACTTTATTTAGTACATGTATATACTAATGCAAATTCAATTAAAAGTACTTTGTTTGCTAGTTTTGAAAAAAATAAATCTCCGTTGCCACTCTCGCGCATGGCAGCCATCTTGTCATTTACAAGATTGTGTGCGTTTAAAATAATCTTTATTTAAGCCAGAATTACCTCCCTTAGGCCATTAAATCTATTTTTAGACTCAAAAATCTTTCTTATTCCCGTTGACGACTTTCTATATAGACTGACGACATAATATACAAAAATTACTTTATGATTTTTGAATCTTTATACTTTATTTATCGATTTCCTTTTAGATCTCAGCCGCATATAAGGATCACTCTATTACCCATTACGAAGGATCGGTAGGTTTATTAATATGCCCAAGTTAGCTGGTTTACAATTTATCCAAAATCTTGCGCAGTCTCAAGTTTAAATTATAAAAGTGAATGTTAATGAATAAACATTTCTACGAATCTAATGACTGCGTTTGGTTTTTTCTGTTTTATTGTTACATTAATAGTTAGTGATGTTTTCATATGTTGTCTGATGTGTTCTTGGTGCTATCCCTGTTACCTTGACTTTGTGTTACGGACGTTTTGTTCTTTGTTTTATAAATCACTGTTCCCTTTTTTACTCCGTTATGATATACGACTTTATATTAAAGTACGTTACTAATAATTTAAACAGTGCATTGCTAATCGTATTTTATCGCAACATTTTAAATTTTGCACTCTGTTGCGCCCGTTGCGCTAAAAAATCTCCGTTGCGTATTTTAGTGGTACTGCCGGTTTTGTTCTATTTATAATCTCAACTGGAGGTCAGATTGATATAGATATTTTCTGAGGCAATGTTTTTTTAAGGACTGATTGGTATGCCTTATTTAATGATTTGAATCGTTTGTTTGTTCTCAGAATGAAATATTATGACATAATTCGTTCGTCAGTAAGACCGGTGTAGACGATGTTAAAATATATGATTTTTCCCGCAGACGGGAAGGATACAAAAAATAATATCCGTAATGTAAATTAAACTTTTATCTTAATCAACTAATTTGTGTGGAGAAAAACAACATTTTTTGTTCACTTTCGTTTCTTTGTGCAATATCTTATGCAATAAAATGTGCAAGTCATTGTCAAAAACCGAAATATTTTACATTGTATTTTGGAAATGACACAGTCTTCCTTTCTGATGTGTTACGAAATTTATGGAAGAATCCATTATTGAATGGGGAATTCAACTTCACTGTAGCTCTCAAATTTGTGCTATTCTGATTGACTCTGTTTTGAATTAACATTCACATTCAATAAACTTTTCATCTTTCTTATGCTTTAACAGAAAAAATCTTCATAACAATGTCTGTTGAGACAAAAAATACAAGATACACTATCTCAATTTATCGCTACAAAGAAAGCCTATATAACCTTGCAATAAAAAAAACCCTTTAACTCCCAAAACAGAGACAAATTTTCAACTCTAGACCATAATTTGGATATACTTTGTAAAAACTAACAAGCTAAAGCCTTGTGAGAAATATTTAAACTCTAGCCCTTTCCATTTTGAAGTATAAGAATTTTAAATTTTTCTTTTAGTTGCCATAGCAACCAGAGTTTAGCATGGAATGGCATTCTTTGAACAATCTTGATAGAGCTTCATACAATGAGTATTCCTGCCAAGTTTCATTAATATTGGCCAAGTGGTATTGTAGAAGATGTCGTTTGAATAAAATGTGGACAGACGACGGACACATTTGGTTGGCCATCCTAAAAGCTCACCTGCACTTTGTGCAAGGGGAGCTAAAAATGAGTTGAATTTTTATTTTTACTTCTATCCCACAACAACTAATTTTTGTCTTCTGCAAAGAAAATGGAAGCACAACAAGAAATTGATATAAATCTAACTAATTTTTCATTAAATTCAAATATTGATAATATGACTGAGTCAGAAATTGAAAAAGCTTTTGAAAATGCTACAGGTAATGATCATGACCAAGATATTCCTGATTTTGAACTTATTCCTTCTCAATCCTCGCATATATCTTAAGACAGACATCTATGAAATATCAGATTATAAAATCGGTCTGTCTTCCCGTCGAAATATTGAGACTAGACACATACATGCAACGGTTCATTTTATCAGCAAAGAAAAATAAAGGGGATGAGTATGAACCAGGCTCATTGGATGCCTTTATTGGTAGCCGACTAGAAAGGCATTTAAAATCAAAAAAATATCTGGTTGGTATAAAACGTGACTCCTGAGAATTTATAAACACAAGAGAATGCCTCAGAAAAAAATCAATGGAGCTAAAATCCTTGGGCAAGGGAAACAAGCCTCATGCTGCTGAATGCCTAGAAGACCACCATCTACAAAAAATGATTGAAAATGAAACACTTGGAACAGGAAACCAAAATGATTGAAAATGAAACACTTGGAACAGGAAACCAAAATGATTGAAAATGAAACACTTGGGACAGGAAACCCACTATCTTTACTCAATTCCATGTGGCTTGCTTGCACATCAAATTTTGGTATGCAAACTGGAAAAGAAGCTTCTATGCTGAAATCGGGAGACATAAAATTGAGATCAGATAGTCCACGGAGAGTACCTGATTTATGACACCGAGAGCCAAACCAAAGCTAGAAGTGGTGCTGAACCTAGAAATATCAGATATAATCTGTAAAAATGCTGTCCCGGCTCGTGAAAATATGTTGCATTTTATCATGTTTTGTGAAAATATATTACATATTTCACTCAAACGAAAAAATATCCTCTTATTAATTCTGATAATGATAATCTATTAAATAAAAAAAAATAGTGCATTTAAAATTCAGCCAGATCAGGAGTTGAACCTGAAACCTTCCCAAATCTGAATAGAAACTAAATTTGGGATGCTCTAACCAATTAAGCTACCTGGCATAGAAAATCAAATAACACATGAAAAAAATAAATATTCAATTTTTGAGTATGGTAAAAATAACATTAAATTTTAAAATATAAAAATAAAATATTAAATTTAAAATGTCTCCATTTTTTAGGTTATAAGTAACAACAGTTTAACAAATTTACTGCATTAAATATAAAATTGAAAATTTTGGTTTCATTTGCAGAACATATAAACCAAAGGCTTGGCCTATACCAGGTACCCCTGAAAAGTGTTCTATCACACTATACAAATTATATCAATCAAAAAGAGCTAATGAAATGCTTGATCCAGAAGCCCCATTCTTCTAGACAGTGGCAAATGAGAGACCAAACGAGGGTCAAGCATGCTACAAGAGAGTTGCAATGGGAATATACAAAATTTACAATATCATGAAGCAAATGAAAACTGGCGCAGGTATTGAAGCACCCAAAATCAAACCATACAGGTATGAATTCCAACAACAATCAAAATTAAAACTATTACATATCATACAAAAGAAAAATATTACATACATTCGTATGTAATATAGGTACGATTGCATACTACTTTTTGTGAAGACTTTTTATACTTGCTGCATTATAGGTGTAATGTAAAATGAACAAACATGTCATGAGATATGCCGGCTCGTGAAAATATGTGGCATTTTATCATGTTTCGTGAAAATATATTCCATATAACACTCAAACGAAAAAATATCCTCTTAACATTTAAATATTTAATAACAAATGAATAAGTAAGAGGACTACTATAATTACCACATAGTCTAGTTTTGGAGTATTTCAAGAGGGCAATATTGATGGTGAATGTAGATGAATCATGAAGAGGCATTCTAGCATTCAGTAAATAGTAGAACAAACAAAAGCTTCACTACATGCTCGTGTAGAAGGCAGGAAATCAAATTTGTATCACTGAATTAAAAAACTTTATCTTCAATTATCTTCTTTATTTTTATAATTAAAAATATTTTTTTATATTTATTTAGTTTGGAGTTTAACTTAGTCAACATAGTGTTTTTTTTTTATTATTTGTTTTTCTCTAATTGGTTTAAAAAAATAATTATTTTTTTTAATTAAAAACCTCGATAATTTTGGACAAAGAAACTCTGGAAAAAAAACTAAAAATCGAAAATTTCTTTTTTAAGAAAAGGGAGCAATACCATGTAAATATCAAACCGCAATTGAATGGGTTCTTATTAAATAGTTCTGTAAAAGATAATAACTTAAACATGGTTGTTAACTAAAATAAAACTTGTACAGATGATACGACAACAGTATCCTCGTTATTTTGCGATAAATTCATTAAAATGACCCTCATCATTATCAGTCAAAGATAAACAAAATATAAACTCTATGTCACATGACGTGATCACTCACATCTGAATAAAAGCCTGGGTAAACTTTTAGCTGTAGAGGAGATACATATTTTCTCAAGAATTCAAGCCAACCATCTTGCAGATCAATCTGTGTCATATGTATGTCATCGGTGGGAACATTCTCGTACCCACTGCTTAATCTTGCGTCCTAGAAATAATCAAACATGCTTGTACATGCTGTTATAAAACTATCTGTATCATAATCCTAGCATATATGCCATTGATATATATTAATATAACAGCCAACCAAAAGCCCTTTCAGGTTCCTTGTCTTCGATACAACTGAAACAGTACAAGACACTTGAAAAGTTATTTCATTGAGTGAAACTGAAACAAGTTTACAGTAGATTTTATAAAGGATTCTTTGAATGATTTAAAGTCTCTAAAACCATCTGACTTTAGCAGAATATACAGAAACCAAGAGGGTTATATAGGACATGACCTTGACCTTTACAAGCTGTAAATTTAGTGAATTGACATAATTTTGCTAAAAATAACTAGAACTGCCACTATGATGGCGTGAATACCCCCGCATACCACTTTGTCAGAATCAACAGTCACCATTTAGAGCTCAAGGACAACCTCCCTGCCAAATCTGAGGTTACTAAGCCAGTGCATTGCTAAGTTATGTATTCTACATGCTTCAAATGTGAAAATGTCAAAATCAATACATTGCGGACAGGACATTCTTTAGCAATTGAGAAGAAAAGCTTTTTTTGTCAAGGTCCCTGTGACCTTGACATTTGACCCAGTGACCTCAAAATCAATAGGGGTCACCTTATAGTCATGATCAACATCCATGCCAAATATGAAGACTGTGGGTTAAAGGAATCTTAAGTTAATGGGCGGACAAGCTTTTTGAAGTCAAGGCCCCTGTGACCTTGACCTTTGACCTTGTGACCTCAAAGTCAATAGGGGTTATCTACTAATCATGACTAAGCTCCATGCCAAATATGAGGACTGTGGGTCTAAGGAATCTTAAGTTATTGGGCGGACAAGCTTTTTGAAGTCAAGGCCCCTGTGACCTTGACCTTTGACCTGGTGACCTCAAAGTCAATAGGGGTCATCTACTTATCATGACTAGCTTCCATGCCAAATATGAAGACTGTGGGTCAAAGGAATCTTAAGTTATTGGTCGGACAAGCTTTTTGAAGTCAAGGCCCCTATGACCTTGACCTTTGACCTGGTGACCTAAAAGTCAATAGGGGTCATCTACTAATCATGACTAACCTCCATGCCAAATATGAAGACTATGGGTCAAAGGAATCTTAAATTATTGGGCGGACAAGCTTTTTGAAGTCAAGGCCCCTGTGACCTTGACCTTTGACCTGGTGACCTCAAAACCAAAAGGGGTCATCTACTAATCACGACTTACCTCCATGCCAAATATGAAGACTGTGGGTCAAAGGAATCTAAAGTTATTGGACAGACAAGCTTTTTGAAGTCAAGGCCCCTGTGACCTTGACCTTTGACCTGGTGACCTCAAAATCAATAGGGGTCATCTACTAATCATGACTAACCTCCATGCCAAATATGACGACTGTAGGTCAAAGGAATCTTAAGTTATTTGGCGGACAAGCTTTTTGAAGTCAAGGCCCCTGTGACCTTGACCTTTGACCTAGTGACCTCAAAATCAATAGGGGTCATCTACTAATCATGACTAACCTCCATGCCAAATATGAAGACTGTGGGTTGTAGGAATCTTAAGTTATTGGGCGGACAAGCTTTTTAAAGTCAAGGCCCCTGTGACCTTGACCTTTGACCTGGTGACCTCAAAATCAATAGGGGTCATCTACTAATTATGACTAACTACCATGCAAAATATGAAGACTGTGGGTCAAAGGAATCTTAAGTTATAGGGCGGAAATGAAAAAACCGACGGCCGGACGGACGGCCGGACGGCGGCCGGACGGACGGACAAGCTGATTCCAGTATACCCCCCTTACAACTTTGTTGTGCGGGGGTATAATTAGGAAATATTCACCTAGTATATCCCAATATTTTAAAGTAATAAGCCATGTAAGGGTGTTACATCAATGTGACCTCAATAACCTGACAAGGTAAGATAATGTAACCTTGAACTTCAATATGTTAACAGTAATAATCTTTGACCTCTTAAACATTAAAGGTAATCTTGTAATCTGGTCAAGTATTGCTTGTTTCAGTATTCACATATTAATGTACAGTCAGTAATAAGAATTTAAAGTTAACTGACATGCAAAAACAACTATAAGGCGACAGAACGATTGACATAAAACATGCAAGAAAATTGTAGCTGAAGGTTCAGGGTGGTCATCACAATTAAATATTAGTCTTATTGATCTAATACTAACTGTAACATCACATCTGTTACATTTACGGGCTGTAACACCACATATATTACATTGATTGGCTGTAACACCACACCTGTTACAGTGACTGGCTGTAACACAATATTTGTTGCAGTTACTGGCTGTAACACCACATCTGTTACAGTGACTGGCTGAAACCCTACATCTGTAACAGTGACTGGCTGTAACACCACATCTGTAACACCACATATGTTACATAAACAGCAATTAAAAAGGCAAGTAGAAATTCAGGCTCCTAATCTGACATGCTGGAATACATCCTAGAGACAAAGATGATAGTTTTGTTAATGAGGGTAAGTAGGGGGAGGGGATACAAGAGCTAGCAATGTCAAGCATCAATTCTAACATGCATAAACAACTTTCAGTATTCCTACATTACTATAGTATCCAGGATAAACTTTGGTTGCTAGGGGAGCTACATAAACACGTAAGAATTCCAGCCATTGATTCTGTAGGTTAATCTGTGTCATATGAACATCGTCAGTAGGTACATTCTCGTAACCACCGGCTAACCTAGTGTCCTAAAATAATACTCTACTTAATCAATACTTTATTTTACAAATAAAACAGTTATCAACCAATTATTAACCAATTATCAACCAATTATTAACCAATTATCAACCAATTATTAACCAATTACAAATGTATCAACCAATTTTTAACCAATTATTGACCAATTATCACGAAATCAATCAATAATCTGCCAAACTTGTGGAATGATTTTGCCAGGTTTCAAAGTCAATGAAATTTAAAGGATTTTAATATTAAAATATAAAAATTAAGCTATGAACAGTATAGAGCCTGGTCAGACTGCACACTGGCTCTAGACTGGTGCCTAACGCTCAACAATTTTGGTTACAGCAGGATAATCTTTAATTTGAAAGAGCAAAAAATAAACTCAAGCTTTTTACAGCTATCAGTTAACTTAATGTTTGTTATTTATTACAAATGTCAATTAAAACATACAGCCAAATTTGAAGTTTTAAAATCACTAGCTCATTAATCAAATGTCTATTAACAAAATCCAGTCATTTATTTTGCATGTATTACAGTTTATTATTAAACAGTTTTATATTTTCATAAGTTATGAGATCACCTTTACTGATTACCATAGCAAATAAATAATGGTGAAATTAATGATCTTTAAAATAAAAGATAAAACTGAATACAAATGAGCCGTGTCACGACAAAACCAACGTAATGGGTTTGCGACCAGCATGGATCCAGACCAGCCTGCGTTTTATGCGCAATCTGATCAGGATCCATGCTATTCGCTATCAGTTTCTCTACTTGTTAAAGGGTCTGTAAGCAAACAGCATGGATCCTGATCAGACTGCGCGGATGTGCAGGCTGGTCTGGATCCATGCTGGTCGCAAACCCATTATCTTGGTTTTGTTGTGACGCGGCTCAAAACATACCTCGCTCTTGCCACCCGACCACATGTTGACATTTTCTAACTCTGCTACTATCTCATCACAAAACACTTCTGTCATAACTGGGAACCAGAAAACATCAGGACATGGCTGTAAATATATGAACAATATTCATGTTCACACTTGTTAAAAGGACAGTTAATTTTGTTTGGTACCAAACTTGTTTAACCCTTTCGCTGCCAGAGGGTTATTGTTTTATTGATCACCTATTTGCCAGAGGGTTTTCTAAGAAATTACTATATTATTAATTAATACAATTATTATTATTATATGATATTAGTATTATAATAATTATATATGTTTCAAAATATGCTAGTATAATAATAATTATTGTCGATGGTATAATTTTCTTTATATTTATTATTATATTTATTACTTTTATTAATTTATTATTATTATTATGATTATTATAGAAACGGCAAAAGCCGTCCATATGGCAAATACGCCAAAAATAACAGGGACGGCATAAGCCATCCCTATGGCAGTGAAAGGGTTAATAGTATTCCAGTCATTATTATTTATTGACATATATTCACACAACAAAATGTTTCTTCAGGCACATGCTGGTACCTGAGTAAAACAATCTTCTTTACAACTTCTTCACTTAAAAAAAACTCTTTAAGTTCTTGGAAAGATTCAAACCACTAGGGGCAAGTGGTTCATAGGGGCAAGTGGTTCACAGTCCACTACTTTAACTCCACGGCCAAAAAGGCCTGGAAAAATGCAGATAGACTTAATACTAGAAGTTAATTATTTTTTCTATAATTACTTGCCAACTTCTCCGTGTAAGTTATATGACAGAGGAACACAAAACTAGACATACTACCCGTACGAAAAAGATAGCAGGATTCCGCCTAATATAAGCAGGAAAACGCTTAAAATTTCCGTGTATATAAGATTTTCCTGCTAATTTAAGACGGACACGGAATTTTGTAAAAAATCCTGCTAAGCAATTTCATATTTCGCCTAAGGCTTAGGCGGAAAATATGGGATGAGCAATAATTTAGACGGGTTTTAGGACTTAGAATTTTGTCAGTTATTTGTTAACAAGAATTATGTACTTAGACTTTTTTGTTAACCAGAAATTTAACTTAGAAAATTTTACTAGACAGATTTCTGAATTTGGAGAAATTTCTGCAGATGACAGGTATATAATAAATCGATTATTAAGTGATCAACAATTATTTTGCTGCTCTTATTCATTGTCAATTTTCAAAACTAAAATATTGTTTGTACAAACATAAACATACATAATCATTAATTGATAAAAAAAACTCCACAACAAAACTAAAACTTAGAACATATTATATAATGATGTTGTGATGACTTTTGCATAGAATATATTTCATTGTGTTAAATTTGGGTATGAACTAAACTCATATATTAAGCTTTTTAATGTAATATAATTAAATGAGTAATATCCCTGAAAATTTCTTATCAACAGGATAAATAAATAAATACTGCCTCTAGTAACCACTCTACTATGATTTACATCACAGACCTGATAACACACAGGTCAGATCGTAAATTCTGCTACAGTCCAGACTGTTCCATGTGATTTATTTGGGGGGAAGCAACAGTTACTTTGTACATTTTATATGATGAGTCTGTTTAGAAGGACTTTGCAAAGTTTTTTTTAAAGATATTTATTATGAATTTTGGATTCCTTTTCCGTTTATTTTCTGGTATTTTTTATATAATTGTGAAAATAAAACGATGGGTTGGATTATCCCTGTTTACCATCATATCATGGACTTGTCCATAATTTGAAATCTAGGAAATATGGGTCAGCAGAAGCTTAGACAGTGGAAATAAAGCAAATAACAAAGGATTTTATTGATAGTTAAAAATTGTGGTGATAATATATAAGCAATTTTTGAGATAATATTTTGTTTAAAGTGTAAGGATTGAATATTTTTGAATTTTTCAAAGAAAAAAAAATAAGACTTAGCCTTGTGAATGAAAATGACAATAATCTGGATATGCTCAGTTGTAAATGAATTTTGAATGCTACATTATGACCTTGGATAAGAAGATAAATACCAATATCATAAAAATTCAGGTAAGTAACTTTTGGATACATTTAAACAATAAAAATATATTTCAAATAAATTAAATAATTTTGCATTAAGTTTGAGAGTAAATTTGTAACACTAAGTTTGGTTGTAATGAATTATAGTTTAAATGCATGTATAATTATAACTGCATACAATGACAAGAAACAATAATATAAGATATTAGTGGTGGCAGTGTTTTACTGATGACTGTTTGTGTTTCAGGATATGTCTCAAGCTGGTGTAAAAAGAATGGGAGGGGAGGAGTCACGGACAAGGATATTAACGATACCATAAGTTAAAGCAGATCAGTTATGCTTGGAATAAAAATGAAAACAACTGGCTGAACAAAAAACATTTACAGTGAAATAAAATGAAATAATTTGCCATGGATTAAAACAATACAATAGCAGTGCAATAAAAAATATAACTCGTGTTTCTGTTTTTTGTGTGACTCTTTTACGTACTGTACATGCACCCTAATGTAGAAAACATTATGGTAAAGCTCACAAAAATAACTTAAAAGCTTTGTAATTGTGATCACCTATTGTCTGTTTGCAATTTTGGATTCCAATCATTCTTATGCAGCTAAAAAATAATGTTGTATCCATCCATAATTCAGCTTTATTAGTGTACTATCACAAAATTGAATAACTTCATTTCCTTAGGCGGATTTTTTGCTAGTATTCCTTAGGAAGAATTTTCTCCTGCTAGTGATTTTCTAAGTAGGTATTTTTTTCCTGGTTAAAATATTTTAGGCGGAATTTTTTCCGGCTAAGAATTTTCCTAAGGCGGAATTTTTTCCTGCTAGTGCTTTCTTTAAGCTGAATTTTTTCCTGGTTAAATATTCTAAAGAGGATTTTTTTCCTGCTACCCTAACTGTTTTCCTCCTAAGAAAATTTGCATATTTCGCAGCGTATTCCTGCTTATAGGAGGAATCTGTGATATGTAAACCTGAAATGCCTTAGACGGATTACGCCTAGTAGCTATGTGGAATTTCTGCTTTTTTCAGGGCGGAAGTTTTCGTACGGGTATTGTAAACCTTACCATTGTCGTAAAATATGTTCTTACTGGACAAGGTATGTATTCAAATTCAAATTTCAAAATGATTAATGATTGCCATTACCTGTTCTATGACAGCATTTTCTGCTAAACTGTGTGAATAATTTGGGTGTATGTATCGTTTCTCCCAATCAAACGGGTTATTAAATATTTCCCATAATTCAATATGAAGTCTACCAGTCTGTGCTCCATCTGAGTTGATCAGGTAACCAAACTCTTTCCTGTTTGTAACAAACATAAAATAACCCTGAAATGTCAAAATAAACATAAAATAACCCTGAAATGTCAAAATAAACATAAAATAACCCTGAAATGTCAAAATAAACATAAAATAACCCTGAAATGTCAAAATAAACATAAAATAACCCTGAAATGTCAAAATAAACATAAAATAACCCTGAAATGTCAAAATAAACACATCTGTTAAGTAATACAAGGTGAATTTATAGAGTAATACAAAATAAACACATTTATAAAGTAATACAAGGTGACTTTATATAGAATAATACAAAATAAACACATTTATAAAGTAATACAAGGTGAATTTATAGAGTAATACAAAATAAACACATTTATAAAGTAATACAAGGTGAATTTATAGAGTAATACAAAATAAACACATTTATAAAGTAATACAAGGTGACTTTATATAGAATAATACAAAATAAACACATTTGTAAAGTAATACAAGGTGAATTTATAGAATAATACAAAATAAACACATTTGTAAAGTAATACAAGGTGAATTTATAGAGTAATACAAAATAAACACATTTATAAAGTAATACAAGGTGACTTTATATAGAATAATACAAAATAAACACATTTATAAAGTAATACAAGGTGAATTTATAGAGTAATACAAAATAAACACATTTATAAAGTAATACAAGGTGACTTTATATAGAATAATACAAAATAAACACATTTATAAAGTAATACAAGGTGAATTTATAATGTAATCCAATATAAACACAATTATAAAGCAATACAATAGAAACACTTTTATAAAATTATACAATGATATTATTTATCTAGGGCATGAAATTTGTTGTCATCAGTTGAAAATGATTGTTTATTGTGTCTGTGCTTATCAAGTCAAATAACAAGAATCTTCTGAATTCATTTATCATACATTAATTAAAAATTTAAAATTTCAGAAAATAATTTATGTACATTGTCTTTATAAAAGCATTTTAAAGATTAAATGGTGACTTTAAATCTTTACATGTTTTTATTTCATTAAGGCACCTATGTAGAACAACCAACCATCTGTTTGCAAGCTGGACAGGTTCTTTACAGAAAATTATCAAAAAATCTCTAGCTAAAATTCAACCTACTGTAGTGAGGGGCAACTAGTACAAAATAAGAAACCATAACCACTTGAGAATGGAAGCTCCTATAAAACAGCAGTTCTGATTCCAGACTGGAGGGAAACCTTTATAATTATCAGTACCAGCAGTTCTGATTCCAGACTGGAGGGAAAGCTTTATAATTATCAGTACCAGCAGTTCTGATTCCAGACTGGAGGGAAAGCTTTATAATTATCAGTACCAGCAGTTCTGATTCCAGACTGGAGGGAAAGCTTTATAATTATCAGTACCAGCAGTTCTGATTCCAGACTGGAGGGAAACCTTAATAATTATCAGTACCAGCAGTTCTGATTCCAGACTGGAGGGAAAGCTTTATAATTATCAGTACCAGCAGTTAAAGATTCCAGACTGGAGGGAAACCTTAATAATTATCAGTACCAGCAGTTCTGATTCCAGACTGGAGGGAAACCTTAATAATTATCAGTACCAGCAGTTCTGATTCCAGACTGGAGGGAAACCTTAATAATTATCAGTACCAGCAGTTCTGATTCCAGACTGGAGGGAAACCTTTATAATTATCAGTACCAGCAGTTCTGATTCCAGACTGGAGGGAAAGCTTTATAATTATCAGTACCAGCAGTTCTGATTCCAGACTGGAGGGAAACCTTTATAATTATCAGTACCAGCAGTTCTGATTCCAGACTGGAGGGAAAGCTTTATAATTATCAGTACCAGCAGTTCTGATTCCAGACTGGAGGGAAACCTTAATAATTATCAGTACCAGCAGTTCTGATTCCAGACTAGAGGGAAAGCTTTATAATCATCAGTACCAGCAGTTCTGATTCCAGACTGGAGGGAAACCTTAATAATTATCAGTACCAGCAGTTCTGATTCCAGACTGGAGGGAAACCTTAATAATTATCAGTACCAGCAGTTCTGATTCCAGACTGGAGGGAAAGCTTTATAATTATCAGTACCAGCAGTTCTGATTCCAGACTGGAGGGAAACCTTAATAATTATCAGTACCAGCAGTTCTGATTCCAGACTGGAGGGAAAGCTTTATAATTATCAGTACCAGCAGTTCTGATTCCAGACTGGAGGGAAAGCTTTATAATTATCAGTACCAGCAGTTCTGATTCCAGACTGGTTGGAAAGCTCAATAATTATCAGTACCAGCAGGTCTGGTTACAAACTGGTGGGAAAGTTTTATAATTATCAGTACCAAGCAGGTTAAGGTTTAAGCTGTGTGTATACCTTTTCTCTCAGAGTTTTACATAATGCCATATCAGCATCCAGACTGTCAGAGTCATACCCATTTCTCAATGCAGGTAAAACATGTGCTTGCACCAGATACACCCCTGTCATATATGGAACGTTCCATAATCCACTGTGAAAAAGATAGGGAAAAAAATCAATTTAAAGAATTTAAATGAATCAGAATATTTCAAACTTTAATGTCAAATATCTACATTATTTCTGATAAAGTTTAATTGTGTCAATGTTGTTGGGTTTTATGTTGCACCAAAAAAGTAGAGGTCATATTGCAACTTTTCAGCTTACTGGTAGATTGAGACCTCATGTTGCCACTCTGTGCATTATTACAGGCACAAACGGGTACAAGTTGAAAGTTTAAGATTAAAATAAACTTAAAACCTCTTTTTATATTCCTTT